CGCTTGACAGGAGTTGCCTCGAGCTCGCCTGCAGCTCTCGCTTGGACCTCACCTGAAGGAGGTCCTCGCTTGCTCGAGCTAGCCTGCAACCCCTGCTCGAGCTTGCCAAGTGTTGGACCACGAGCTCGCTTGAACTTCGACCACGAGCTCTCCTAAAGGATCTCCTCGCTTGCAGCCAGCCGTCTCGACCTCGCCTGAAGTCGGAGCTCGCCTGATAGGTTTGGTCTACACCCAAACCAACAGTTAGTATAGATTGTGTTTGTTAGACCCTAATGCCACTAGGAAAGAACCCTAGAGGGGAGTGGGAGGGGGGTGAATAGGTTTATGCTAATCTAATCTAATTTAATGCCAATAAAAACTAATTAACAAATATCCTAGCAAATTAGATATGCAACAAGATATATATATGCAAGGATATACAAACAAGGGTAAGTAAACTATAAACAAATACAAACAATATAGTGGATAAATTAGACAATGAGATAATGGTGATAGAGATAAAATAAAAGCACAAGCCAAACTCAAACACACAAGAAATGATCACGGAGTTCGAATCTTCTGTCCTACGTCTCCGCTCCCCACTCCCGAGGAGAATCCACTATCACACTGGGTTTTCGACGCTCACCCGAAAATATTTACACCACACAATATCGGTTTTCAACGCTCACCGATCAACGTTCACAATTAGTCATAATGTAACTACACAAATCCCACCTCAAGTGTTAGCCTCTCACGTGTCTCCCTCAAGTGCTCAAAATTACTATCTCTCACTAGGCTTTACTACTGATACCACTCCTCTTGCGACCGACCATGTCTCTTACCTCTACACTGTGAACACGCACGTGATGTGGGGTCTACCACGTAAATGAGTTCCGTGCGTGGATTCGTTTCTGAAGCCGGCCCACGAACCGCAAATCACGCCTATATATAGGAATTGTTTATTAGGTTTTCGATGGTGCAAGAGCAGGAGGGCGTGAAAGGAGTTTTCGGCTTGGTGTCTTTGGCGGCTTCGTGCAAACAAGAAAAGCCGACAGAGGAGCAGTGCAGGGAGTTATTTGGTGCATGAGGATTTCCTGTGCCGCTTTTGTTTTGCTATTTTGAGAGAGATAATTTTGTGAGGGATTTGAGAGTTTGTTTGAGGGTTTAGATTGTGAGTGATTGTAAACCCTAGTTGTATTCTCTCCCTCTATTAGTAGATCTCCCCCCTCCTTGCCCCGTGGATGTAGGCAATTTGCCGAACCACGTAAAAATTGATTGTACTACTTTTGTGTGATTTGTAATAGCTTTTAGGATCCCTCGACAGGTCAGTCCTAGAACTGATGAGAGGAAGAGCCGATATCTCACTTGATTGAGATATCCGCTTCAAATTCTTGTCTCCTTGGTGAGACGGGAGTTCTTATTGCGATCTGACTCTCTTGTTGTGCTGTTGAAGTGCTGCCGAAATTTCCGCTGCGCGCAACAAGTGGTATCAGAGCCCAGATTTTAGATCTAGGGTTTTGGAGTTTGGTGGAGGAAGATTCTTGTGTGAAGCTTAGTTCTTGGAGTTCTCGGCTTCGGTGGAGATAGTATTAGGAGTTGCCGTTGGAGATTTCGCTTTCCTCGTGTGGATAGGAGATCTATTTGGAATCCAATCTAGGGTTCTAAAATTTGAAGTTAGTTTGCAATGGGAGAAGAAGGTGAAAGCAGCAAATCGATGGCGGGTACAATACAAGTTGGTTTTCAGAACACTAAAATTAGTGTGGTGAAGTATGACGGCAAAATCAACTTTGGTTTGTGGATGAGCGACGTACAGGATGCACTCAATGCTCAGAATTTAGAAGAGACCATCATGGTCCACGAGAGACCACCTAAATATGAAGAGGCGGTATGGGAGAAAATGAATAGGAACGCTTGTGGGGTGATCAGGTCCTGTTTAGAACAGGAGCTGAAGTATGATGTGATTGGGGCACAAAGAGTGTTGAGAACAGGTTGCACTTGCTGCGAAGACTCTTCAGATTTCAGATGTCCAGAGGCACCTCACTAGCGGCTCATGTGAACAACTACACTAAGTTGTTGTCAGACTTGGCGAATGTTGATGAGAAGATATCGGATGAGTACAAGGCGATTATTTTGTTGGGCTCCTTACCGGATGAGGAGTATGATACCTTCGTGCTCACTTTGTTGAACGGGAGATCTTCTATCAGCTATAGTGAAGTGACTAACGCTTTGACGAACTACGATTTGAGGAGGAAGGATAAGGAGACTTCCCGCGCTAGTACTTCAGGAGAGGCCTTGTCGACGAGAGGTAGAAGCCCATATCCGAAAGGTGGTAACAGAGGGAGGTCAAAGTCTAGAGGCCGTCACCAACTAACAAAGAACCAATGTGCATTCTGCAAGGAGCAGGGACATTGGAAGAGAGACTGCCCGAAGCTCAAGGAGAAGGAGAATGGCAAGAAAAAGGGCCCGAAGGCCAATGAGGTGAATATTGCGAAAGGCGATGATTCCGATGATTCGTGCTTTTCTCTACTGATTACTCCGGAGGTGAACCATGTGGATGCATCAGATTGGATGCTTGATTCCGGCGCTACCTTTCATGTGACCCCTAGGCGAGACTGGTTTGCATCTTTTGAGAAAGTCGACGGGGGCGTTGTTGTCATGGGAAATGATCAATCCTGTGGCGTTTGTGGGATAGGTACCATACGGATTAGGATGCACGATGGAGTAGTCCGTGAGTTGAAGGAGGTGAGATTTGTTCCTCAACTGAAGAAAAATCTTATCTCAGTTGGAGCTTTGGAGGCGAAGGGATTCAAGGTGACTTTCGAAAACGCTGTAGCGAAGGTTACTAAGGGATCATTGGTGGTGATGAGGGGAGTCCGCAATCGGAATTTGTATTATCTGAAGGGAAGCACCGAGATTGGCCAGGTTGCTTCGGCTATTTCAGAAGCGGACATGAGCAGACTTTGGCACTATAGATTGGGGCACACAGGTGAAAAGTCACTGCAGGCATTGTGCAAGCAGGGGCTATTGAAGGGAGCCAAGAGTGGGAAGATTGAGTTCTGTGAGCACTGTGTTCTTGGCAAGAAGACGAAGGTGAAGTTCGGGACTGCCATTCATCAGACGAGGGGCATCCTGGATTACGTGCACACAGACGTTTGGGGTCCCACCAAGACTGCATCACTTGGTGGTCGACATTGGTTCGTCACTTTTGTAGATGACTATTCTAGGCGTTGTTGGGTGTACACCATGACGAAGAAGAGTGAAGTCCTAGATTTGTTTGTGGAGTGGAAGAAGAGATTGGAACTGCAGACTGGGAGAAAGATCAAGACGTTGCGATCCGACAACGGTGGTGAGTATACTTCTGACCCCTTTCAGCAGCTATGTCGAGACGAGGGCATAGAGAGACACTTCACAGTTAGTCATACACCGCAGCAAAATGGGGTGGCAGAGAGGTTGAATCGGTCTTTACTGGAGAAGATCCGATGCTTATTGTCGCAGAGTGGTTTGGAGAAGATCTTTTGGGCTGAGGCACTTACATATGCGAGCCACCTCATTAATAGGCTGCCTTCATCTGCGATTGAGGGGAAAACCCCTATGGAGATGTGGTCGGGAAAGCCAGCACATGACTATGACCAGCTCAAGGTATTCGGGTGCCCTGCATATTATCATGTTAGAACTGATAAATTGGAACCTCGAGCTAGGAAGGCCATATTTGTAGGATTCAAGCGTGGTGTCAAGGGATACAAGCTTTGGGATCCAGTTGATAAAAAGATTGTTCTGAGTAGGGACGTCACATTTGATGAGGCTTCTATCTTGAAGCTTCCCAGCTCTCATCAGGTGGAGAGCGACCCGACGGAGGAGATATCGCAGGTGGTGGAGATCGATGCAGCTCCACATTGTCCAGATGGTACAGTATCCATGCAGGTGCCGACTGAGGTGACGCCAGGCGAGCACGACGATGACACGGAGGATACGAGTACAAATGTGCAGGATCAGGAACCGACGGCTCAGGTTCAGGATTCTATTGCGGCTAGGAGACAGAGGAGAAACATACAGATGCCAGCACGGTATGCCGACACAGTTGCGTATGCACTTCCGGTGGAGAGTATCGATGAGTTAGTGCCTACTACATTCAGAGAGGCCGAGCAGAGTTCGGAGGCTGATTCGTGGCAGGTGGCTATGCAGGAGGAGATGGAATCTCTTCATAAGAACGATACATGGGAGCTTGTTGAGCTTCCAAAGGGGCGGAAAGCAATTGGTTGCAAGTGGGTATACACGAAGAAGGAGGGCATTGAAGGCACTCCGTTGAGATTCAAGGCTAGGTTGGTTGCGAAGG